CCTATTCAAGAGTATGATGTTTATTGTGACTAGCGTGAATGGGTAAGCTTCGTTTCGACAATGAGCTGTTATCACTGTAAACAATGTTAAATTATTCTTCACATGCTCAGTTTATTTTTTGAGAACAATTATTTAAAAATAAAATCTCTCAGTCAATCAGAAACTCGGATTCACGCCTTCAGGGAAAGTCACGTTTGGACACTCACATCGATTTTGTTTTTCGTTCGGCGGGCTGATGCCTTCAGTGTAGCTTTTGCCTCTTCCGACATAGAAATCATCTGAATCTTCTTTCTACCTCTCTTTCTTTTCACACCACATATAATGTAATGATAAAAATTAGGAAAAAAAACGCTGAGGAAACGTAATGTTTGGTTTGCTAGCGAGCGATAACTGATTCGAGAATAATTGCACATGCCCGTGAATTGAATGAACTATGACCCGTACAATCTCGATATGCATATTGTCAATCAAAGGTCCTGTTATTTGCTTACTCATAAACATTACCACGTGTGAGTGTTTTTTTATTTTTAATCAGAAATTTTAACGGTGTTCCAATAAGAATTCATTGGTCAAATTTTCACAGAATGTTCTTTAGATAAAAATCTATATAAAAAACGAAAAAAAACTATTTTTGATTGAAATTCACAAATAAACTGCATCTCTACCTTAATGATGTATGGTCAAAATGGTACCACGTCGTGTAAAATTTACAGTTTTTTTTACAGGAAATTCAGTAGAATCTGTTAAATATGCGAATTTATTGTTAAACTTCTTGTTTAATAAATAATTTTGAAATTGACTTAAGGATTCTTTGTCTGTTTATTATGTATGCAGTGCACCGTAGATCCACTGTCATACTGACCGAAGGTTAAAGCGGGGGAGTCGTCACCTGCGCCATAGCGTGTCATTGTTCACCTGCGCACGCGCGGGAATTGAGTCCCAAGCGCCGATAACAACACACGCTGAAAACGCAGAGGCTCATGGTGTGTAAACAATGACACGCTATGGCTATCTGACGCATGCGCGGGTGACGACTGTCTAGAGAACTTGATATCACCAGATTCAATTAAGACATAGAAGAGCACAATTATTGACATTGAGATTCTTCTGAAGATGGTGCAAAAATACGCAGTTATTTTATACAAACACAAAGCAACATAATATAACCTGCAACGTGACTTAGTTTTACAATTAATGATATGCCAATACTAATCTGAAACCAGTAAATCTGTGTATTGAAACGAAGTAAAACGTAGTATTATGTTATTTTTTTTTCACAGCTTATTGCTTTAATGAGACGTATAAAATATTTGTGAAAAATAAGATCAAATTGAATCCTGAATATTTTACTCAACGAGACAGACAATGGCGACAATACTGAAAAACGCTTTCTTTTTCGCAATCGGATTCAGATCCCACCAAAATACTAGATTGTTTCCTGTAACAAGGGCACCTCAGTCTTTAAATGTGCATGGAAATTAGTACTGTTTTTTCAGAAATGTAGCAATAAATGAGAACCACTTCAAAAACTTTGTTTTTTGTCTAAAAGTGAGATAAATCAGGAAAATCGTTTATAACTGTTCCAGTCATATGACAATAAAACACTAGTATTATGTTATTGGTACTTCATGAATGTCTTTGCATGAACAAACCTTAGTAGTATTCGCATATATTGTATATAAAACATATGATTCAAATCAACTGCCATTATTAATTGCATGCATGTACAATTGTTTATTAATTGGAGGTTACACAACAAAATTGAATCTATTCATGTTACAAATCATGTATACCACAACATCTAAAAATCATTAATATTTGCTTTAATTATCTTGGTGGTGATACCATGCTTCTGTAAAACATAATCATAGTATTTGCAAGCACTAATTCACATGCTGTTATTTTTGCACCAGGGTACAAAGTCTCCAGGCATTGCGTAACAAACGCCGACGACGGTGAATGTGTGCATTGTCCAGAAGGCACTTATAACTCCAACTACACTGCATCCGACAGCTGTAGATATATCGACCACTGTACTAAACTACACGAGATTGTAAAATCTCCTGCTCCATTGGATGGTACAAAAAATAATGAATGCCGATGTGAAGATGGTTACCACTATACCGATACACGTGAACTGTGCTGGAAAGATTCCACATGTCCACCGGGAGAAGGACACACCGAGGATGGTATGTACATTGCCAACTTGTGTTGTGTACGTTGTGTTGAATGTACTATTCAACAACACGTGTGTGAATTAAATCTGATACCCGATTAATGGTAACGACATGATATAGGTGTATACCCATTACGTTGTTTGTATTGATTGGTTTTGATATAATTTCAAAATTTTGGCGTGGTTTGGATAATATTGTGAATTTCAATATTTAATAATGTAATACATCAGTTGAGCCGCTAAATTTACTTTTATTTCATATTGCAAATAGGGCAATGCGAAGTATGTCCAGAGGGAAAGTACTCTACAGAGGAATCTTCAACAGAAAAGTGCCAGCCACAGCCCGTGTAAGTACAGGGATATTTTTTTTACTACATGTATTGTAGTAATACATTGTAGTTGAATCGGAATGATTGATGTCCGGCTGAATGTCAGCAGGATAATCACATATTGTGAAAAAAGAGTATGTAGATTTTCGAATTCTCTTTCAAAACCAGTACACGTGATCATTCTGTTTCAATTGAAACTAATATAATTTACGAAGTTCCAAGAGATTTAGTTAAGAGTCGGATTTTCTTAAATTCTCTATTAAAATATAAAAATTTAATTGGCATTAGTTAATGATATATACCATTATTTGAACTATGTTGTGTACACTTCAATTAATGGGTCTACTGTGTAGATTTGTGCTCCGTGTTTTTATGATAATTCCAAAGTCTACCTGTGTGCCATTCAACTACATTAAACATTATATACATTTGTATAAATATCTTATTATTGTAAATTGTTATAGTGATAATGTATGAGAAATATTAACCTATTTGAATCACATATGTCCTACTAAGAGAATAGTAATATTTCAAAATGTGTTCAATGTTTTTCATTTTAATAAACTATTTTAATTTTTCCTCTTTTCACTTGAACAGATTTTAAATTGCCAGTGCGTCAGTATACACCGATTTTTGTGATAATTTAAGGGCCCTTGCGTATCGTGGATAAATGTAAATTCGTTATTTGCTTAGTTGACATGACCTTTGCACATTCGTATAAATAAAGATAACAAATTGTCACCCATCTCATAATAAATCAGTTTCACAACTGCCTAAACATACCCTGGATACCACATGGTGCATTGAAATTTACATACATAATCAACCTTTGATAATACGATGTCACCAATTTCTATAAATATTCGTTTATCATTTGTTCATCTGAGTTATCCGCTTTTCAATTTGCAGTTTGTTTTTTCAAAATGGGATGATTTCTCACAATTATGTGAAAGTGAATAAAATTCAATTAAACTGAATGGATATTGTACAACAATTTTCAAAACAAACAACCAACCAACCACGTCTCACATTTAGCATTGGTTTAGGCGCTAGGGACAGGGACTCAATATCTATATTGTTTTGGTGATATACATATGTACACTACATTGATCTCAAACTTCATTTGTTTTAGCTGCTCGGGCCCGATTCTTGTGATAGGAAACACGACAACAAAAAGAGTGTGCGCAGAAACAACATCAAACCCAACACCAAGCATGACAGGTACATTATCATTTGTATAACCTACTAAATGAATGTTTTCATGGAACAATAAAACTGACATTTCAATTATCTTTTAAAAATAATAAATATTAAATGTTAAATGTTTAGTCAGTCTGACGTAGTATTACTAGCAGTGTTGAATACGATGTTAGTTTAGTTTATATGACTACCATACGTGTTTCGTGGAAAATGTCATTGTAGTATTCTTCATATGGAAGGAGAAAGTGTTTACGAGTGTCATCAGTATATCTACAATAACATTGGGTTATATCAAATGTACTATTTTTTTCTTTGCAGTTGAGAGTACAACATTTGGTATAGTTCCTTCAAATACCACTTCATCCAATGGTTTAAGTGCGGGTATAACAGTAGCGATTATACTTGTAGCGATACTTTTACCTATTGGCTTGCTGTTGGCGGCATACTGTTGCAGAAAACGTTGCTATGACTATAAGAAATGTATACGTAATACACGAAGAAGACGAAATGGAACAACAGGTACGCAATTGGGCCATTCCAGTTTATATTTGCACCCCCCTGTTGATGAGGTCGGATTTCCAGCACTGTATGATGGGGAAAATACCCCGGAATTCCAACTGTATATGGAGAAACAGAATCTGGAAATCCAGACAAGTATGGAAAAAAAATCCTGGAAATCCAGGCAGTTATGGCTACTAAATAAAATATGGCCTAGTTTATATGCCACATACCGGTTTGATGAGGTTGGATTTCCAACAGTATGACTAAAAAAACTTGGAATTCTGACTGTATATGGTAAAAAAATGAATGAAATAGTTATTACTGAAATTAGATAAGGATGGTGGCACGAATGAGCTCATCAATACCGTGAATCAGGACTAGTTTGGATTTCCATTGTCAAATATAAAATTTTGAACTTAGTAAATTAGCATATAAGAAATCCTACTCTGTATGGTGGCACAAAGGAACTCATCAACACCATAAGTAGGAACTATAGTTTTGGATTTCCATCACTGTATGGTGAATGGTGATTTGGAAATAAAACTTTGTATGACTTAGGGAAGAGTAGGAAATCAAACGGGCGGATCACCGCAGTAATCACCGCGGTACACCGAGGAGAGCCGCGGACTGCTTATAATTAGGGGTCTCTACCACGATGGCCACCGATACCGGTTGCAACCGCGGTCGAAGGAAAGGTGTGAAATACGTACTTAACAGTTTCCTTTGTGATTCCATGTCTTTGTTTCAAATAGCTGTTGTATTTTATGCATGTATTTATCACCAATTCCAAGAGTAAAAGTCGTAACTTTCGAAGGTACGAGTATTATGACTCGTCCATACATTTCACTTACGTTTGTTACACTTGAATAAAGTCTACCACATGAAAAGAATGTTATTTACGAAGTTAATAGCCGAGCCTTCCTGATTCGAGCCTCTTGTTGATTTGACAACGGTGGGTATCATTAATGTTTATTCTTTGCCTGTATCGCATTCCAGACAAAAAGTTCAAGATCGGTAAACAAGAAATGGACGAACTAAAATGTCTCCTGTGTTTCACGTGCGACATGATTATTAAATCAAAGAAAGCTTAGAAAGAACTCCCATGTGCTGAGAGTATTGGAGACACATTAAATATAATTCGAAATTACTTAGCTGAAAACTAATTATGCAAATCAGAAAATTAATATGACCAGATTTGAGTGTAAAACTAATGAGGTCTGCGCAATGTAACAGAAAATCTATGTCTCCAAGTTTAATTGAAATGTGATT